TTTCAGAGCGGAAGGATGCTTCAGTGCACGTTTTGTACCCGCAAATCCGACCTCCGCCGAGGACAAAGCCAGAGACAAGAACGCTTAATTGCTGAAGAAATGAAAAGGTAAAAAGCACATCCGTACAGCCCCGCCGGCGGGAGTGCTGGCCCGCTCTGCCCCGGCTGAGCCCTCGCAGGAGAAGACAGGGCTCCGTGCAAAGGCAGCTCCTGGGGGAGAGCCAGGAGACGACGGGGAGCTGCGGGGTGACGCCAAGGCAGGCCGTCCCCACAGGCCTCAGCACCGCTGCGACCACGTACCCACCACGCCAGGGCTCCCCCCAGCCCATCGCCGCAACGGCCAGGCGACAACGTCAGGGCCCCCAAACGACAGGGCTACCCCCAGGTAGGGTCTCCTGACAATCCCCCACGAGGAAACTCTCCCTCGGGCCCAGCTGACATTTCCTCTCGGCTCCTTTGACCCTACTCCCCTTGGACCTCCTTCGCTTGCTAGTAACTCAGGACAGACGTCGTTTAAACGCTGCTGTACATTCAACTCTCAAGCACTCCTCTGAACTCAGACTCCCTAGCAACCTATGCACAGGGCACGTGGATTTAAAGCACTACTGTTAACAATGATTTCTACACAGCAAGCACACACTTTTGAAGTGCAGACCTTTGATTTTAAACTTAGTTTCCCATTGCTATTCTCACTGACTGATGTGACCAGTTAATCGTGAGTATTGTTGTTATTTATTTCCCACGGGCCAGGACCAATCGTACCAGGCGCTGTACAAACCCACCGATTTGCAGCCAAATACAGCCCTTGTGCTAAAGTTGGTATTTCCTTTGTTGCTATCTGCTATCTCTTATCAGAGAAGCCAGATTTGCTTTTCTGGCAGCCTTAGGCCAGGGCAACCCCAGCAGCAAGTGCCAACCTGGACCCAAATCACACCGCAGTCCCAGACTTGCAACAGCACCCACGTGGGCAGCAGGGAGCCCCCACTTTTGCGCTTTGCCCAGTCTCTCAGGGTGCTTCCCTACTGCTAAGGTAGCACACAGCACCTCATAACCCCAACGGAGCTCTACTTGGCGACTTGGACCTCGACAAAACGCTGCTGACTTGCCCTGCAGCAGACTACCACCAGTACGATGCTCACTACCACTATGAACAGCAACATCGCTGTTGCCCTTATTACTACTACATCTATGCAGAGTTACTTAAGCAGTTATATCAGTTAATATACATTTAATCAGGTTTACTGTTTACATTTCTCGCATGTCAGAACATGGTTTTTTTTATTTACTAGAAGAGCACTGTAACTGCTCTGTATCAGTCAGAAAGAATCCACACTCCTATTAACAACACTCAAAGCCAATATTTTGAAATCCAGCAACTCTATCAAAACATATTTTGCATTTAACCCCCTGACTTAATAAATAAACAAAGAATTAAGTAAAGTGACGAGCTGTCCCTTGCCTCCCCAGGCTATTTTTTTCCAAGTATTCAGTTACCCAAATCTCCAGGGCCATTAGCTTGGGATAGTGCTTGGACCAGGTAACCCCCTACATTTCTGCCTAATTCAAGGAGAGCGATGCTCCTAACCTGCAAAAGCCCATCTAAAAATCCTACTAGACACCCATCTGCTTCTTTAGAGCCTACATATATTTCAAAATATAGCCATGCATAAATATCTTCTCTCATTAGATTCTTAGCCCTAGTTTGCAAAGAAAATTATTTTCCTGCCTTTTCAGCTCCCAGTCAAACAGACTGAAGACATACAAAATATTCTCCCTACACCTGTTGCATGTGCTGGACCCAGAGGAATCGGGGCAAAGCTTTTCTGTACAGTACTGACAGCTGAGAAAATGTAAATGCAAGCATTTACTGCCTTTGGAAAGGCTGAAGAAAACAAACCCTTATTAGAGTACAGAACTTTGTGACACACTGATAAAGTTATTGTCCCAAGATAAAAACAGGTTTTCCCTCCATCCTTCCTGTATTATAAGACCTTCTAACTCAGAAATTTGAGGAATGTGCCTTAATGTTTTAAATTTTATCTAAATTGTTTTAATACAGTAGTACAACTCTGAGGCTCAGTATGATTATCCAAATTTCTTATTTAATTTTCAGCAAAGGAAAAATGTTTGTTTTAAATAACTACATTAAATTAAAAGAAGTCAACTCTATGTAATTGTTTAATCATTTTAATTGTCTATCTACTTTGCTCCTTCATTTCTATTTTTCTTCTCCAGGCTCCCTTCTTTCTACCCACATCTGTATGGCATTACCCATAATGTAACCAATACTTCAGATGTGGTTGCACTGCTGCCATAGAGACAGGACCTATCAGCTTTGCAACATGAACCATCTGTGCATATGACCCAAAAATCGCTCTGGCAATTTTTTTTTTAAACCACCACACTGCTTTGCTTGTACTGTCTGCTTTAGTTCAAACTGGACAGGCTACTCCAAATTCTCCTCCACAGGCACCAGAAATAGAGGATTTTCTCCCAAAATGCAGCCACTGCACATTGGTAGATACGTTACAATAGCTACAACTTTCTCTCTGCTGTGTGAGCCGTGCAGCCAGTGCCCTGAAGGACGCAGAGCGTAAAAGACGCAAATACAAATGGAAGCACTAACGGACCCCAAGGCGAATCAATTCATCTTATTCCTTGCGCCTAGCCTCTACTCTCGTACCTCTGCCGAGAAACTTACTTCACGCTTGTATTTCTGCAAGAAGCAAAGGTCCCAGGGCAGAGGCCCCGCTGTGCAAGTGCTCGGTGCGGTCTTTGCCCAGTCACTCAGTGTCCCCATTCAGAACCGTTTACAGACCAGTACTGACAACAGCACTCCCTGCTTCCCGTCCTATTTTAGATGTTAGATAAAAATGGGCCTGAGACCGCCCTGTAGGGTCCTGTCCAACTTCATAATATGCCATTTTTCACTATCCTTTGCTTGTAGCTTCTTCTGGATTTTTCAGTTAGACTTTACAAGGTACTAATGAAATGCTCCTATGTTCCTATAGGCATTTTCATGTAAATCAGCATCAGTCACGGTGCCCTGACATTGACCACAGTTAATTCTGCCTAAAATCCTCGCCCTTCAAGTCGCCAGAAGATAGAGAAACGTGACTGAGGGCTGCACTGGCCTGTGCTAATACTGAGGGAAACACATTCTCTAACTCTCCAAATGGACTACGATATTTTCCTAGATTTCAAGCCTAAAGTCTTTTTATGTCTGCAGCCAAACAGCCTGAGGATGTTCAGTCTGGCATTTCTCTGGTGAGCAAAGGGACATCTACATCTATGATTTAAGTTACACAAGAAAAGTACAGCACCAACATACTATTACTAGCGCTGCAGCATGTATCATCCACAGCAGTCCTGCTTCCATCTGCTCCTTCCACACCAACCAAAACCATTACCAAATTCAACCGGTGGTGCTTTGCCTTAATACAGCCCATACCCTCTGTTGCTCGCTGGCCAACTTTTTAGCGTTGCAGATTCACTCTCAACACCCGCTTCCTTTATCTTACACGGGAATGGAGTTCGCGTACCTGATAGGAGCTGCCAGCACCACTCTTGCGTGGACCAGCATTGAATTTTGACAGTAACCACGAGTGACGTATGTCCGCTGCTCCCCATGACGCACCCATCACTCAGTACATTCATTGCCAGTCTGGCTGACCTGCTAGATCAAACCCGCTGCTTCTCACTGAGTATTGCCAATAAGGGCTGAGTTGCTCTCACTCTGCCCTACTCAATCTCACATTGTCCTTTTTTTTTTTTTTTTTTTTTTACAGTGAGTCCTTTTACTTACTTTTTAGTGGCAGCAGTCTTACAAATAGTATTTTAAAAATACAGCTCTGTTGTCTGAACCACTTTTTTTTTTTTCCTAGAGAACAGTTTCAAGGAGGAAACAGCTCGCCTTAACCATTCTCCTGTTTTTGTTCTTACTTATTCAAAACCCTTCCTTCTCTCCACTCCCCTGCCAGCTTTTGTTTCTTCCAGTTTGCCTTTCTTCCATCCCCATCAGGTTCACCCATTTGTTCCCAGGTCTAACAAGCTTCTCATCGCCTGCGGAAGTGTCCCCTTCCCTGAGCGCAGCTGGGCAGGCACTGACCTCCTGTGCCCGAGCTGGGCAGGATACAGCTCTCAGAGGAGAGGCACAGCCCAGGGAACTCCCCACCTTTACCGAGCACTGCAGCCTTCGGAAGCTACCGAGGCAGCCCGCAGCGGTGATCCCGAGCCCTGTGCAGGCTGCTTGGACGAAAATGGGGCATGACCACTCTGGAATCTGCCCCAGGCTCATCTCAGCGTGAAGGATGGATGGTGGCTCAAGTCTGTCACGTCTTATTTTTGTAGCGGAGTTTTTGAGTTCCTGGCAAGCCACAAACCTTGCTAATTTTACTGCAGGTCAGGTTATGCCTGGACTCCTCTTTCTTACAAGGGATGTTGCCCCCTGGAGGCAAAAGATCTTCCTGTGCGTTGGGTCACTGCATTTAGCCCCAGTCTCATAGCCTAAAATGGCATTGCATGCCCCTTTTTCCTGCAACCTTTGTGCAAAGGAGAGACCTGGGGCCACCCCAAAATCTGGGAAGGGGCTCTGCCCCTCTCTGAGCAAAGAGATAGCCCAAATGAGGACGGACGCAAAGCCATGGCTCTCCCCAGTGCCACTTTTCCGTGCGGGGCTCTGGAGGGCCCGTCTGCGGATGACACGTGCCGGACGCGTGTGCCCGGGCAGTCCCGGGGCCAACCCGGGCAGCGGGCTGCGCTGCTCGGCCCTCGCACCCTCTCCCTTCCCGCGCCA